AAAGCACTTAAATATTTTAACACATTTTAAAAACGATGCAAAAGCCATGATCAGTTTAACAGTTTATTTCAATGGCCGTTCTGGGTTCCTACGACGCCGCACAAACAGCGGGGTCAAGGCAGCCATTATCCCGCAACGGCGCGAACCCGACACGCATCCTCCCAGTTCAAAATTTGCGCGTCAAATGATTTTCGGGGCTGACAATAATAGCGCATGCGCACTGTTAAATAGGCAAACAAAAATGTGTTATTTTAAATTAGTATAAAATATAACCTTAACTTTAGATGCAAGATGTACACCCTACACACACACACACACACACACACAGCAAAGCTCTATACATCTTGATATGTTACGAATTTAACAAATACATCTAAAGTTTTTATCTCGTGACATAATCATGTTGCGAGAATATGTTACCCCGTCTGCAGGCCTGAGTCACCATGAAATTACTATGTTCCACGGCGCGTGTGGGGCAATATGCTTAAATTCTTTATTAATTCTCTGTGCTGTAAAACATTGCTTGACCATATAATTTTGCACCTAAAACATGATGGCAGGGCTTTTGCCGTTAGAAAATAACGCATTTGCTTAAAATAACACATTGGTAAACACGACAAATGTTTTATCGCTTAAATTATTAAAATAACTAAGGTATTATTCTACCAAAGTTTTAAAAATGTTTTTGAAGTACAGTATGTAGCTAAATACCGCTCACTATAGTTCCTATCTGAGACTACGGTGCCAGCTCTGGATCGAACGCCCTCCTTGCGGTGTCTTGTTTTAAGAAATCTGCCTAACTTTGTCGGTTACCTTCCATATTGGAATCTTGAAGATGTTTTGATGTATGTTGCTAAATACCGCTCACTAGCTCCTACGGCTATTAAATGTAATTAAATAAACCGGGACATCTTATTTAAAATAAAACTAACAAAATACACCTAAATTGTTTTATTCCTTAAATCTTATTGGTTTAAAAATTTATACTAATGTGTCATACAGCTTAAGTTATGGCACTTTGTTCCGCTGATTAAATAATTGTAGTTAGATACTTTATCAAACCCCGCAGCGGGGCGTCCGGTCCTATGCCACAGTCCTAGAGCTGTGGTGTTAGAGATTGACTTTTATTTAAATTAGAATTATATTATTTTATAATATTTACAAATAAGACAGATTAATAAATAGAGGTAATGTGCTTTCTGTCAGGATGGGGCTGCAGGCTGTGTGCTTCTCACACTCATGAGCCATCGCCCATCGGTTAAAACGGGGTGTTAGCCTCACGACAACAATCTGACCGCTGGTAGCCATCTTGTTTCCAATTTGACAGCCACGAGTCGGCTCTTTAAAGAAAATACAGTGGTACCTCAGAACTCGAATTTAATCCGTTCAGAACTCCAGATCGAATCCTAAAAAGTTCGAGTTGTGACCAAATTTTCCCCATAAGAAATAATGGAAAACCAATTAATTGGTTCCCAGCCCCAAAAAAATACACCTAAATATTTTTTTTTTAGCATTTAAACACAAAATGAACCGGATAAAACAAGGAAAGCATATACTGTACTAAACACATCTAAGCACATTTATCAAAACAGTAATTTGTAAAGTAAGAAAATAAATGTATCCAAACAATGTGTCCTGCTCCGATCGTCCGCTCCTTCCGTGTGCAACACCCCCTCGTTAACACCGTGTGGAATCCTTGTGTGATCAGCTGTTTCTAGTTGTTTTCATTAGCCCTCTGTATTTCGTCCGCGTTTCAGTTTGTTTCCCCAGTCTGGTCATTGTATTGTCCGTCTGCGTTTTGCCTGCCTTACCTGTTATTAAACCCCGTATTCCCCGATACCCTGACGTCTGTGCCTTTGTCTCCGTTCTGTCCCCGCTGGGCACAACAATATTTTTATAATTAAACGTATTTATGGTTTATTATTATTACTAATATAATTAATAATAAATCTTTATTTTAAATGTATTTTATTATATAATAATTATTGTTACTGTCTATCATTGTCTAAATGTATTTTTACTGTCTAAATATATGTATTCATTGTATTAGTGTAAACGTGCACGGTGCTATCACAACTAATGCAAGGCTGAGACTGAAGCGTTACCCTTTGTTTCCGCTGAGAGACGTGCCGCGTGACTCATTTCCCCGTGTGCACAAGTTATCTTAGGTCTGCATTCACGGTTTGACTTCTGAGATTCAGATCGAGCTCTAGGTAATTTTTTTTCGAACTGGTTGGTTTGACTTTTAAGAAATTCGAGTTTTATTGAGTTCGAGAACTGAAGTACCACTGTACTGTCTCTAGGCGCATGCGTTATAGGAGCGAGAGAGAGAGAGCGCATGCGCTCATTTTAATAAGGATTACCCGCGTTATTCCTTGATTCTTGTTGTCGAAATGCTTGGGGTGCTTTATTCACATTGGCAGAAAAGTGTTTCATTACTTAAAAACGTCATGGTTAAAGGGGTTTATTTGAAATAACAGGTGCACCGTTGGTGTCGCCATTTTGAAATGTGTGCCTGCGTGAGTGGGCGTGTTCTCAGTGCACATGTGCTATTGTTGTCGCCACCGAAAATCATTTGAGTGCGCAACTTTATAAGGGATGTCTTTAGACGTTCAAATTGACCGTGTTAACACATAGATTTAAGACGTGTTAAGACGTCCAAACGGCTTAACACGAAAATAATGTACGTGTTAAGACGTAATTTGTTTGACGTATTGACATGGACATCAAAGTAGACGTTAAGTCCCAAATGGCCTTCCATAGGTTTGCGCCGTTGCGGGGTAATGGCTGCCTTGACCCCACTGTTTGTGCGGCATCATGGGAACCCAGAATAGCAATTGCTGGATCTTTGCGTTTGGTGAAATACTTTTTCTATTTACATTGAAATAAACTGTTAAACTGATCATGGCTTTTGCATCGTTTTTTAAAACTTGTGTTAAAATATTTAAGTGCTTTGTTTCTTGTAAAACGACATGCTGTATGTTAATTGGTTTCGCCCGGGACTGGTGCTTGTTTAAACTCAGTGTAGTGGAGTGGCCAAATCATAAAGAATACGACCAAACACAGAAAAGATTAACTCTCTCGTGGGTTTTTATTCCCCGACTGCACTTGTTAGAGAACAGCATTAACTTTTGGAATTTTCAGGCCTTAAAACACTGGCCATACAAAGGAAAAGACAATTTCACAAAAAAAGGAAAACTTTACTCAGGACCTCCTACTGACAATACAAAATACAGACGACGATATATGACAAAACCCATAGACAATACACGCTATAGGGACTATAGACAACAGTAGTGGCCAGTTCCTAATAAAGAAAATAAAATACAACACAAAATAAGGCAACACTTTATAATAAATACACAATCCATACACTCAAACCCAGGTTTTGCAGCCCCATTACAATGTGTCGCCCTCAGTAATCTCACAAAACTTCTCTTACATGATTACCCCAACAGAAAGTGATTTACCTGGTAATACAGTTCTACCAACAGAACATTTTTACAACCATTTCACAAGAACTCCAAAAGAAAGCATTTTGTTAAAAAAAGGAAATCTGTTAACTCACAATCGGACCTTGTCGCGTAGCTTGTGTGCTAGGGAACGCGAAACCTGGAGTCCGAGCAGTCACCTATCTCCCCTCTTAACCGAACAAAAGCATTTGCTTTAAGTGCCAACACTCACGCAATAGGGAAGAAAGCCACATGGTAAAACATACCATGTCAAGACACCCGAACTGCTTAAAGGCGCACACTGTTTACCCGGCTACATCAGCATTTGTCCTTCGGATATTGTTTCGTTCAGGCATGTTAGTACTTGTCTAAATTCCGCCTGCTCTGGCTTTTCTTTCTTTTATGAAGTTAAACAAAGTTTGGGACTTCTTGTGTTTAAAAATACGGAAAGTACCGGCACGCGTCTAATAGTATACGCTAGTTTACGTCATCCTGCTATATGTTTTATTATTCCTTAAAACGTAATTAAAAAGAACACATTAATAAATACATGTATTTTTATTTTATTAAAGTTTAAGTGCAACCTAAACCATATGACCCCTTATGTAGCAGAAGCATGTATGATACCATATATAGACATAATCCCCATATCCTCAACCCGCGGCATACGCCCCTCAACCAATCAGAATAAGGGATATGCCCCCTCCCGCTTATGACATCATAAACGGAGTCCCATTAGGCTCCTCCCACGGTACCATATAATATCTCTAACAGCAGTGGCGTGCACAGACATTTTGGGGGGCAAGTGCTCCAGGGGGAAAAAAGGGCACTTTTTGCATATGTGGAAAACCTTTTCTTTTTATAATAAAAAAAACGCACAGGTTAAATGCAATTTGACTTTTATTTCAAAACATTCTCTAAAAA